AAAAAAATGATATATTGTGACTGTTAGCTGTGTGAGTTATCGAATTTTTGAGTTGTCATAACTTTGTTAATAATGAATATTTTTTCATGAAATTTCAGTCACAACTATACAGAGACAGTCTGAATCCAGTGACGTAGTAATTTTTTTCAATAAAAAAAACGCTAATAAAGAATCCCGATTCGACTAAGAAAAAATATCGTAGTATGCCCTGAAACTTTAATAAACATTTCAAATTTTGTCCCAAGGTAGACCTTTTAGTACTTGACATTAAAAAAAAAATTATTAAAATCGATTCACAACTTCAAATTTTAGGGGGGTGTTTCCATTAAAAATGGGTCACACTGTATGTACAAAATGCTATTTGACCTATCCAATTACTTTGTGAGTTCTATAGGATTAATAAAGTGATTTGATTTTTTTTACGCAGTTATCGGAGAAACCTCTGAAGAAGCTAGCCACTCGAAACGTCGGGAAGAAATTCCAAAAATCCTTCAAACCCGAATAGAAATAGTGACACCGATAACCTCGGACGCGGAAGCCTTAACAATTTTCTCATCAACATAACCGTCACAAGTTAGCCTGTAATATAATCCACAACTATGATAAACGATAACGGCTCTCATGCGAAATTATTTCTTTCAAAGAGTTTTACTTCTGATTTATGCGACACCGAATTACTTCATGCAACTCCAATGAATCATCCTTAATTGTTAGTAAAACCCCCAAATAAATAACTGATTCTACAAAGATTCAGACATGTTTCATACAATAGTGAAACCATTAGGGATACAACTAGCCCCTGAGGTGCCGTGAGGCAAAACACAGCTTAGTTTATCATTAAAATTAAACCTGTCCGTGAAAAGAGGTGGATCTTGTACGGCGTTCCCAGAAGAGTACACTTTCATGGGAGAAATGTCAAATATTATCTCGGAATTATTTATTCATAGTGTAGTCCGGGAGACCGTGGATGGAAACATTTTATGTAGGACTCATTTCGAATACAAACAATGCACTGTTAGCGCAGATGATTGAGTAGATCAGAGGTTCTCAAACTTATTTTGTCTACCGCACACTTCGAGAACTAATCATTTTCTAGCGCCCCCAACATTTTTTTACTTTACTACATCTTAAGAATCACAATCGCTGTCATTATTTCAATAAATAAATTATGTGTGTCATGTGAAAATAAGACTTTCTGATGAGGGTAATGTAAAACACCATTTTGTAATATTAGGAAAACTTTTATTCATGTTATTAAAACAAAAATTTCAATTTGAATTTTAANTATGAAGCCTTTGTGACGTCCTGTCATAGCCTGAGCGCCATTCGTAGCAGCTGATATAATATTCTTCAGTGGAATTTCTTCCTCATCACAAATTTTTACCAGTGTATTATATATGGTTTCTCCTTTTGTATCCGTCTCTAAATTCCTGGCAAATAATAGTTCCTGATATATTTTCTCATTTTCAATAAACCTCACGTATGACAACAACAAAGCTTCATTGGTTGGTAAAGTGGACTCATCTAACTGAATTGACAATTTAAAAGACTTCAGATGATTGCACAATGACTCTTCAATGTTTTCAGCCATCTCATCAATTCGTCTTTGCACAGAAATATTGCTCAAAGAAATTTTTCGGATAATATCTGCCACTGGTTTATGGAGCATAGTAGTCATTACTTATTTTATTGCAGGTAAAATTAAATCCTCTCCAATAGTGTGAGGTTTACCTGTTTGAGCAGTTAGCAAGGAGATATTGTAGGAAACTCGGAGTCCGTCGTCATGTTGCTTAAAAGCTGCTAAAAAAAGTTTTGACACATTTAGCTGAGCTGAGTGTTTCTTTTTCAGTTCTTGAAAATAAAATTATCTAAGAACAATTCGTTCAGGCCAGTCTCATCTCCCTACACAGTGGGTTAAAGGACTGACACCTATCAGAAAACAACTACTCCCCTGGCTAATACCACGAAGGGTATATGCATATGCATATGCATATGCTGTTGACGATACAACTGCCGCAATAGATTTTCAATTATTGGAACACACTTGCAGACCGTTTTCGGGCTGTTTGGCCACTCGTCAGTGCAAGGTAGTGTATATCATCAACATGAAGTCGATGATTTCCGATAATTGAAAATCGAATTCCGTCAGAGTATCATTCCTCGGACTAAGCTGAAGCATACAACAAACAACAGGTTTGTCGTCGCCCCGTCTGCCTGTGAACGAGGTAACCAACTGCATATCCGAAATTTGCCCAATTCCTCGTATAAGGAAAGAAAACTTCCACATATAGTCAGTGGGCTGATAGGTCAGTGGGCTGATAGGTGTCAGTCCTTTAACCTACTGTGTAGGGAGATGAGACTGTCCTGAACGAATTGTTCTTAGATAATTTGATTTATAGCCAGCCTTCAAGTATGCTCACTGACTATATGTCTTGAAAATAAGTAACACTTTTGTCTTTTTTATCTGAATACATTTTATTCAAATGATCTTGTAGCCTTGAGGGTTTCATCGCTTCATTCGAAAATGTTTTTTGACAAAGAAGGCACATATGGTTCTCTATTTCTTTTCGAACTGATAATAAACACTCGGCTGAGGGTCGTTCAGGATACGTCGATTCTGCTGCTCCTCCATACGGAAAGGGTCCATTGAATTTTAAAAGGGTAAC